ACCGCCCACACCCACAGAACACACGCACACACACACACACACCATTACAGAGCTTCCAATCTCCTGCCTCTCTCTTCTCCCCCTCTTCCCTCTCCCTCTCTCTCTCTCTCTCTCTCTCTCTCTCTCTCTCTCTCTCTCTCTCTCTCTCTCTCTCTCTCTCTACTTGAGAATGTTGACTCTGAATACATCCACTGCTACTCAACTGTATCCTTACTACTAACTTATGCGGCTATGGCGGGCTTCCCTCTCAGTGCATCGCTGCCCAGCAGGGTTCTCACGCGCATGCTACTCGCAGATAGTGCACAAGTGCTTCAGCAGCACTTCCACACTTCTCACGAATGAGCAATCTCCCGAAATGTGGCCGGCCAGTCCGTATATTGACTTGGACTGCGTCTTGACTTGTCCCAGCCTCTGCTTCTTTTGAGTGAACTTGGATCCGGTACCCCATGCCGACAGCCTGTTTGCTTCAGAATGTCGTGGCCTGGTACTTTCCCGAATTTTCTTTGGTGCGCTGCTGCCTGGGTCTGTGAGTCACGACTTTTCACCGCGAAACATGACTTTTGACTGTGGGATGTGATTCTTGCCTCTGGGACACGACTTTCCTCATGCCTCTGGGACACGACTTTCGCCTGGAGAAGTGTCCTTTGCCTCCGGGATAGGACCTTTCAAAATGAGACGTGACTTTCGCTTATAGAATGCAACTTTTGCCTCCGCGATGTGACCATTCACCGGGTGCCTGTCGGATTTGACTCCTAAGGTACCCAACAGTGACCCTTCTGAGTTGGCCGACTTGGCCTGAGACCCGGAGATTCGAATTTGGGGTCTCCATAGTGGAATGCCCTTTTCAGATTCTTCAGTCAAGAAACCCAATACAAACTTCAGCCTTGGCATTCATCGACTGATTGATGATGCATTCTTTCAGTCTTTGACGGATTGCTTGCATCGGGTTTCAGAACTTTCAGGTTTTCTATTTCACTCCCTGAGAGAGTCCCGAAGGTTCAGAACTTTTTTTTTGAATTTTCAGAACTTTTTTTTTGAATTTTCAGAACTTTTTTTTTGAATTTTCTCCTCCTTTTTTTTTGCAATTCACTTGTTCTGTCAAGGATAGTTCATTGCAGACAAAAAGTGAATTGCAAAAAAAAAGAATGAGAAATTCAAAAGACAGTTTATTGCAGACAAAATGAATTGAAAATATTGGCTGCCAGTTGTGGCCGCCCGGGTCACACCTTGTTTGCCTGGGCGGCCTGGCTGTGCAAGAACCAAAGAAGGTCCCATAAAAAAAAACAAAAAAACAAAAAAAACAAATCTGGGAAAAACAAAGTTATGCAGAAAAATAAACTGAACAACTTTTGCCTCAGTGTCACATCAAAATTCTTTGTAGTGAAAAACAAATTTAACAAAATTATGTTTTTTTAATTATTTTTTCTATTGTTTTTTGGCCCGGCCAGGCAAGTGGTCCCGGGCCACTCTGGTAGCCTACCGTCTTCACCTGAATAGAACGCCCGGTCATTATACCTGCATTTGGCCCAACTTGCAGTCCAGATGCAGCGATAATGACCGGGCGTTCTATTGGGGTGAAGACGGTAGTTGAAAATAGAATTGGAAAGTTCAAAGTTCGAAATCGTGAAACACTGAAAAGAGAAAAAAAAAATCATGAGGCCTCACGTCCAACCTCTACTACGACATTGGACATTTAAAAAAAAAAAAAGAGAGAGAAAGAGAGCGTGAGAAAAAGAAGTGTAATAAAATGCGAGATCCTCACCCTTGAGCTCGATTGGTAACCCATGACAGTCCCACCCTGGTACATAATTCACCTTCTTTCCTTGGAGAATCTGACCAAAAAAAATAAAAAAGATCAATAGCCAACACACCCCCCCCCAAAAAAAAAATAAAAAAAAATCAATAGCCGATAATACTAAAATAGGCAAAAAAAGGGAAACCAAAAGTAGCCAAAAATAGCCACGAATAGCCACAAAAATAGCCAAAAATAGCACCCCAAAAAAGCCAAAAAAAAAAAAGGAGGCAAAAGTAGCCAATACCACGATTTAAAAACCGTATAGCTGGATGAACATAGTAGAACATAAAAAAAAAAAAAAAAGAACCAGTATAGCTGCATGGCCAGTTGAGAGTGGCATAAGCCGAAACTAGCCAACCACCTTCGGGACCCACACCCACAACTCCCTTTCCGCCCTCCCCACCCCCCCCCGCCCCCCCCAAACTCCCTGTGGGTGTTATGTACCCATGATAGGAATTTACACAAATTGAGATTTCCAACCCGCAGCATTTCCTGTGTCCTCTTTCATGCACGGCACATATAATATAATCATGGTTGCCCCGGACCGGGACATCCAGACACTGGACACCGGGCCCATACCTGCGTCTGGATTAATCCAGATGTCCAGTAATCAGGACACTCTTCCGGACAACCGGACATGCGGACCCGGACGGTCCGGTTGTGAATTAACAGGTCCGGATGTCCGGATATATATATAAAAAAAAAAAAAGAAGAAGAAGAAGAAGAAGCAGCCCGACAGCCCGACAGGCACACAGTGCTGTAGTTGTATTAGCCGATTTATCTTTAACACGCTCACATACACACACACTGTCACACACACACACACACTCACACACACACACACACACACACACACACACACACACAGTGTCACACACGATGCTGTAAATGTATTATCCGACGTATCTGTAACACTCACACACACACACACACACACACACACACACACACACACACACACACACAGTGCCACACACACACACAACAACCAGATCTCCTTGGCCCGCTGAAGCTCACCCAAGATTGCAAGTACAGGCCATTCAGGGCCGGTCCGGTTGGCCTAGCGGTCCGCCAAAAACTGCACCAACAATTTTCGGGGGACCACCAGGCACTGGAAAATCGCCTGGGGACCCCCCCAAAAAAATTCGAATTTTCTAAAAATGCCCCCCCCCCCCAAACCGGACACCGGATCCGGACATCCAGACCGGACCGTCTGGATCCCGATCCGGACGTCCAGTTGAAAACCATGAATATAATACACTAGGCTACCAGCCGGGCCGCCCGGGTAACCCTATTTTCCCGGGCGGCCCGTCCGTGCAAGGACAAGGGTCCGTGCAATTAACTGAACAACTTTTGCCACAGGGTCACATTGAAATTCTTTACCAAATTTAAAATAAAAATTCAATTTAAAAACTACTCTTTGCTTTTTTATTTTTTAATTTCTTTTTGGCCCGGCCGGGCAAGTGGACCCGGGCCACTCTGGTAGCCTAGATAATAAAGCTATAAAACTAATTAGTAAGCAATAATACGTTTAGTAATAACCGAAATACTCTTTTTTTTTGTCCATTCTCCCATCTTCACCCAAATAGAACTCCCAGTCATTATAGCTGTATTGTGGACAACTTTCAGTCCACATGCAGCGATAATGACCGGGCATTCTATTCAGGTGAAGACGGTAATCCGGTCACTTTTTTAACCTAACCGCCCGTCCACATCCTTCCTCCCTCCTCTCCCCCCCCACCGGGCTTCCCTTTGCATCACTGTTCCTTCAAACAAGGCGTACAATCAAAGCGCTACTGTCTTGCCCAGAACACAATCCCCCGTCATCGTGACTGTGTATCGACTGGAAAGATAGCTTGTATACATTCATTATGACTGTGCGTTCTATTCAAGCGTTCTTTTCAAGCGCTACTGTCTTGCCCGGAACACAATGCCCCGTCATCATGACTGTGTATCGGACTGGAAAGATAGCTTGTATACATTCATTATGACTGTACGTTCTATTCGGGGGAAGATGACAGGTAGCCTCTGTCATGGGAAAAACACACACACACACACAAAAAAAAAAAATGTTCTCCTTCTCAATGAACCAGTGTCTTTAAGAATAAAAAATAATAATAACAATAATAATAATAATAATAATAATAATAATAAAAAAAAAAAAAACTGCACACGGTGGGCGGGGCTGCTAGAACCCACCTTGTGCCCAAACTGGAGGAAAGTGTTAGCTACCGTCCGCACCAGAATAGAATGCACAGCTAGGCTACCAGCCGGGCCGCCCGGGTAAACCTGTTTGCCCAGGGAGGCCCGGCCGTGCAAGGGCAAAAAAAGGTCCCAGCCAAAGAAAAAGCACCAAAAAAATCCAAAAAATCTGTGAAGACAAAACTATGCTATGCAGAAAAATAAACTGAACAACTTTTGCCTCAAACTTGCACCAAATACAGCTATAGAATGACCACGTGTTTTATTCAGGTGAAGACTGTATTTAGACTGAAACTTGCCCACTTTGTTTTTTTTTTTCCCTGGACTTTTCCTGAAGCACTCTCACCTGATATCGATTTATGAAATCTTTCAAGATTTTGTTCAGCGCATGACCAATGTGAAGATTTCCGTTCGCATATGGAGGGCCGTCATGCAGCGTGAATATACCCTGCACAAGCCGGTCGTCAACCATACATATAGAAACAGCACCCGGAAAGAGATGAAGAAGAAGAAGAGGAAAAAAAAGGTCAACAGATGAGTCATCAACGGGCGGGGTTACCAACCACACCACCAAAAAACAGCACAAAGAGAAAAGAAAAGCAAAAACAAAAAAAAAAGACAAGAAGAAAAGAAAAGAAAAGCCCAACAATCAGGCACCGATGGTTCATATATATACGCCATACATGCGGCGCATCACGTGAGCGCAAGTTGCGCACGTGCGTCGCATAGCGCCGTGCGTCGCATAGCGCACGCGCACCCGTACGCACATACGTGATGCCTCACAATTACGAATTAAAAAATTTTGAAAAAATTGAAAGGGAAGGCTGTGGTAACCAAATTTGTGCCTCCCTTTTGAAATTGTAACTGCACCGAAAAAAAATAATTTGGGGCCACATCATACTCCTCATTGGTTCTAGTCTCTTTTCCAAAGGGTCCCCTGCAAAGAATTAGCAGGGATCCCATGCATTTGGAAGGACGGAACTCCATCGAACTGCTGGCGTTACACCAGCAGGCCAGCAGTCAGAAAGGAAAGCCGATTAGATCACATCCACGAAACAATGAAGCAATGATAGCTCACACACAGTATTCACACTGTTTATTAAACTCGGAGTCTCGAAATGTCAGAATAACCCCAGCACCATGGTGCGCTGCTCAGAGATGAGCAGCACTTCACTCCCCAACCCTGAGTAACCGCTATTACTACCCCTGAGTCCCTGAAACATCAAGCGCCACCCATGTATCGCCTCCAGAGGGAAGCGCCACCCTGAAAAAGGCCTCTGAGGCCAAGCGCCCCTCAGGAGGATGAAGGAGAAGACCAGTGCCACAGTATCTGATGATGATGAAGTGCCAGAAGACTTCATGGGTGGAAGTCTGTGGCAGCACCAACTCTCCTGACAAAGATGAGCTCTCAGGAAGATAGCTGCAGCTATGGCTGCAGCGCCACACACCCTGATACCCTACTCCTGAGGAGGGTTCAGCAGGGCACCAACTTCTCTTGCCTCCAGCAGACTCCAGATAGCCCAGCCCTCTGAACAGCCCCGCGTGCTGTCAGAGAACAGCGCAGGTCCCATCTATGACCGACGCTTCGCAGGTCTGGCTATGTCCGTCTTTTCCAACGCTGAAGCATCACCACTTCCAGTTCATGCGCTGCACAGCAGCGACGTACACGGTACCAACTGCCAAAAGCCCCGAACCGATTCCTACAAACTATTAATAGCACTACACTACCCTAGCCTAGACCTAGACCGGACTGACTGGACCAACCGGTACCGTTTCTGTTTCGGCCTCTAGGGCCTCTCCCTACCCTACCCGGCTATAGGCTATAGGACCGTCGATCAGCTTAGGCCTGTAGGGCCTGTCTGTCCTAGGTATAGCCCGGGCCTGCTATTCGCAGTTCGGGTAGCTGTAGGAAATCCTAGTTAGTGCGGGCCTAAATTTTCCCGAATTTACAGTTAGGTCCCTCACGAATTTCCCTTACAGGCAGGTCTCTCGGTTAGCCCTCAGCCAAACAAAATAACGAATCTAACCTACCTATGTTACAGCCTCGGGTCGACGGGTCACAGGCGGCAGAAAACAGCAAGTCATTGCAGGAGCGAAGGCCTGAAAATCACATTGCCGAGTTAGTAAGTTGGTAACCCATAACTGCTGAAACACGGACCTGAATTTGAAGCTACACCATATATATGTATAGCTGGCCTGCTCCCTCCTTACTACAAGCCCAGTGACTATACTTCTCCTGCTGACGAGATCCTTGCTAACTTTTGGCAGGCAACTCCTGACGTGTGGGCAGGGGTTTTCTGAATAATGTGAAAGGGCTATTCTCTCTCTCTCTCTCTCTCTCTCTCTCTCTCTCTCTCTCTCTCTCTCTCTCTCTCTCTCTCTCTCTCTCTCTCTCTCTTCAGCGTGTATACATGCATCACAGGTGCTGCTTTTTTCTTCTTCTTCTTTTTTTTGGCGCATCTGTGATCAGCGCACGGCGCAGCGCACCTCACATATGCGCCGCAAGTATGATGGACACCTGCTTATTACCTTACACATATTTTATTATTTTCGATTTTTCACTATAATTCAGACCACAGAAAAACTTGAAAAAGAAAAAAAGACAGCTCTGCAATACAAACCTTTTTTTGTTTGGTCTCTCTCCATAGAGGTGACGCAGACAGCTGTACTGGGCGTTTGCTACATCGATTCACAGAGTTTCCCATGGCCTCTCTCTCTCTCTCTCTCTCTCTCTCTCTCTCTCTCTCTCTCTCTCTCTCTC